ACTGTCACTGATTTCCTTCAGCTCCTAGAATAGAAAGGTCATAGCAACCCCAGCGAACACGAAAGAAGATTAAGCGATACAAAACTCGATCGTTTGCACCTTTGTGCCCCTTTACTGTCAGCGACATTCAGCGGCAGGGTTACCTTATCCACAGCTATATTAGCGCCCATTCAAAATCAAAATTTAATGCGCGTCTTCGACTTTATTGGAGCTCTTGGAAGCTGGTATCATGTAGAGTTGGATAGCCGAGCCGTGGATAAGGATGATGAGCTGCGTAAATGTCATTCCGCTCAACCCACCTTTGCATTGCTTGGGTCGCGGGCAGTCGCAATTACATGACGAATTTCCTTGTTCTTGAGCAGCTCTTTCACCAGACCAAGGCCAATGCCACGGTTGGCACCAGTCACCATTACAGAATAAGGAGACATATTCTGAACTAGAAGAAATGAATAATTAGAGTGGCAAAGTGGTAGTGGTAAGAAAAAAGATGAATATCTGTCTTGTTCAGACAGAAGAGTGAGAGGAAACGGTTATAGGAAGTATAAAAAAAAGTAAAATGGGATACATAGATTAAGGTGTTTAACACTGCAGAATGGCTCATCTTCCTGGACTTCACGTAATCTATTAATAAGCGGAGAAATCAAAAACTGACACTCAATGAAAAATTGTTCCGTGGCACCCAGTGAACTCACCCGGCAAAGAGCTGCTTGTTGAGCTGATAAGAGAACGAAGAGCTTACCGTTTGAGCAACAAACTTGAGATAAGAGAAACCCCTAAGAACTTTTTGGAACTGATGCACGCGTCAGAAAAGACCCTGCCTTGTTGTAGAAATTGGGCACGAGAGGATTGTGGTATGTACTCCTACAAGAAAAGAGAAACCAAAGTTTAGTGGGCGCATCTGAGACTGCCACTTAATACCACCGAGATTACAAAATTGAAAGGAACTGTTCGTGTTTAGCTACAGAAAGGTCAATTCCTAAGCCAATCGATGATCAAAATGATATGAGTTCTTGCCATATTTCCTGCAAAACAGTGTGAAACATATTATAAATTCTTGAGTAAGAAACTGAAACTGGCAAAAATGATTCATGACAATCGAAAAGGTAACCTAATAACGATTGCTCAAAACTGTCCCTAAAATCTTTGCCATCAGAGCAAATCTGGCCAAATGTGAAGGTTTGTGTGAATTTTGCATAAATTTCCAAATTCTCTGAACATTTCTTCTTGTTATTTCTTCCACAAATGGGGCCTCATTTCGTTACGTTGTTGGCGCCTCTAAATTCACGGAATACACCCCCCGCCTGACTGAACCAGATGAGTTGTTGTTCCTACCTTTAGTCAATGCTAATCAAATAAGTAATCATATCAAATTAATAAAGTCTTCACAGGGGAAAGAGCCAGGGAAAAGCAGTGCGTAGAAGAAACTGGACACGGCCCATGCATTGACTTCATACGTATAGTATAGGCTGGCCGTTTCTTCAGTCACCACGTTTATTATTTGTCATCCTTCCGCCTGTCATCATTTTCGAGCGCATTGTTGATGGTCGTAGATCAATGTGACTGAAGAGAAAAATGACTGGGGCTATGCCTCCTTTTCATAATAGTTGTAAGAGCTTTAGGCTTGGAGCTCATCGGAGAAATGAAGCCCCATTTGCTGAAAAACCCAATCCTCCTAGTTCCACCGGCAGAATGAGCGTGTTCACTTACACAGCACTGCACATCACAACTTGAAGCAATGGCAGTTACCTGGTCGAAAAGGAGTGAGGGTTCGAAATGAAAAGATATAGCCCACATTATGCAAATATTAGCTGAGACTGAAGAAAAAATAGGAGGGAAGGAAATAAAGGCGAGCCAAAAGTTCTTGTCATGACCAAATTTACGTAGACCAAAAGCATTCCAAAGAGCTCGTTGAGACAATGAATATGGAATCACAGCGCGGAATGATTGCGCCGTCGGTATGCAATTTCTTGTTGCTGTTGTGTAGTGTTGATCAATACACGCATCCAAGGTAACCATGCGATCGGCGTAGAGTAAACACCATTTTACCACTCCACATTTTAGCATATCGTGCAAAGTAAGCTGCTGAAGCTGCTGATTTTTATCTTTTATGCTGATTCTTATCAGGCTATTGTCTGGCGCTCTCTCCGTAGCGTTTTCCCTCCCCATGCCCTCCTCTAGTCTTGCCTTAGCACAGCCGACAGCGAAGGCGAGTCTTTACGACTTTTTGGACCATCTCCTAAAGCACGATTTTTAACTTTCAAAAGACCATAGGTTCTACAGGATTTGTTGTAATGGAAAGAGGTAAAAAACGTCAAAATTTACAATATCAATGCTTCATAGGAAATGCTAAATTCTCCTGGAAAGTTCTAGAATGCGAATCTTTTTTTTGCTAGAATTTTCAATTAGGACTCTTGAAGACGAATTTGTTGCACCCTCCTCCCTAGTTAGGTCTGAAAGCAGCCTTTGAGGGATTCGTTTTAGAGACTGTTTTCTCATGCCCACTAGGATATAAAATGTTTCAGTAAGATCCTTTAAGTTTCCACTCTGAGATACGCCATGTACTCGTCAGCGATTAGTTGCTGAAGTATTTTTTGAATGTCAGACCTCTTTTACCACTTTGCTATGCCTTGGGACCGTCGAATTCTCTAAGTGGACCTCAGACTTAATACCTCTATTGACCAAATACGAACACCTTCGCACAACGGATGGTTGGCCCTGTTCAAACCCCTTGAATCGTATCCCGTATGCTAAGAGGATTTGTTCACTTCAAACTAAGGCACACTGCAAATGGAGGTCTTCAGCTAAAATGGGCGTAGCGGTGTCAAGGTTATTCCAAAGAACACAAAAACGTGGAGTTTACTATGGTAAAAAAAATGCACAAGCTCATATTTTATTGAATGGTTAACGAATAACAGTGACTTCCTAGTATGGAATAGGTTCAAGAGATCTTCTGAAGTAACCACCATGATGTTCCTTGTTCAATTTGGCAAATGAGGAAACTAGAGCAGCTGCTGACTCTTCGACCTGAAATGGAGCAAGAGTGCGGTTCTGAATTTTTCCAAATAGTAATAATAAAGAAGCTGAAACGGAGCGATGATAATGAAGGAGCAAAGTAGGAGTACAAGTACCGTAATCGATGCGCCTTGTCCTCCCATATCTGTCTGCACCCATCCAGGACAGAAGCTGACAATGAGAATGTGCTCAGGTTCGAGATCAATAGACATAGTTTTCATGAGGGAATTGAGTGCAGACTGCAATCGAATGAATTCAAATAGAAATACTGAAAGCAGTGGCGATTACCAAAAATCAAGCACCAACCTTGCTCATACGGTAGGCCAATGCACCAAATTCCATTGATCCTGTCGTGTTTGTGCTAATGGAACCAGCTCCTGATGAGATGTTAAGGATTGCAGCACGGTTCGCGGAGAACTCGTCCGAAGCCACCTGAGTGGCCGCCTTACGCACGAGAGGCAGGAAGGTCTGAATCGTGAAAATTATTGATTAAAACGATTGTGTTGGTCTATGTTAGCTTACACAAGGCTCTCATCTTCGCTGAAAGACACAAAAACAATCGATTACCCACAGGGTATGAAGGCAAACTAGGTTTTTATTCTATCCGGGGTGAGAGGAGTTTAAAATGCGTCAAGGGTGCCATGCAGGGCAACCATGGCGTTGGTACTTATTCAAACATTCAACGACCCCTCCCGCTTCAGAGGCCTTAATGTGAACCCCCTCCCCTGGAGGATCTGTGTAATGTTAACCTTTAGACCCTCAACAAGCTTATTTGTGGCATAATACTCCCATTTTCTCGAACGTACTCCTAGACCACAGGGAAGGACGCGGAGCCACAACTTCCTTCAAATACGAGGATTTGCGGCGAGGTGAAGCTCAAGAAAACGATGATTATTCTTTCTTCAAAAATTGGTTACTTGATCTCCAAACTTAATTGTTAAAAAAATGTTTTTTTTTTGTGCACATGCGAGTTGTAAGGGTTCAAACGACCACAACTTCCTCTAAATTCAGCATTTTGAAGAACTAAAGGGAGCATGCCCATCTTCAAGGATCAGCTTCTGAATAGTACTGAAACTTCATCAAAAAGTGAAGGATTCCAATAATGGCTTAGCTGAGACATTCTCAGGACGTTGTAGGTGACCCTTTTTTGAAGTCAAGTTTTCACCCTTTAAACAACCACAACTTTCTCAAATTCATTATTTTGAAAAACTGTCGGTAGAACGCTAAAATGTTCAAGCTTTCCTGATAGGGGACTTTCCAAGCCATTTTTTGGAAACGTAATCTTTTGAGGTTCTATAACAGTAACTTCATCCGTAATGCTAGTTCGTGCACAAGTGTGTTGTCCCATAAATAGAAAACGACGAGCATGCGTTTTCAAAACTTTTACAAGCGGTGAGTGAAAACCATCCCTGCAAAAATAGAAAAAAATAGAAAATAGAAATTTTATGTAGAAGTTTCTCTCCGAGGAGTCAGTCCTTCAAAACAATGCAGCTTCCGATTCTTGTTCTGTTCACGCCAGAACAATCGGAATTCCCGAGTTAAAAGGATTATTTTGATTTGCTGATCGTTGCGAATTCTAAGAGCGCTATGTGTGAACGAGTCCTGCCACGGGTTGCACCACGCCTACACCGTGCTTTTAATTCGCTGAAGCCACTTCTAGATCGATCTCGCCACAACTTTCGCCACCCCTTGGGCCAATTACGATCCCTCTCGTTGGAAGCTGTACTAGCGACAGTTGATCTTGGGGCACGTCAATGAATTTCTTGTTTGACCGTTCATAACATTCTCACGGATTCGGACATCTCAACTTAAATGCCTTTTGGTATTAGTTTCAATGCGAAGCAGCGAATTCGGTGTTCCATAACCTTTACAAGGGCTATTGCTTTGAGACCATCAATAGGCGTTGTCATTTTTTTCTGGCAACAATTTGCAGCACTCTCCGAAAGCACTGAATCAACTTATTCAGAATGCGATTTTGGAGGATTCTCCTGTTTGAGTTAGAATTATGCAGGGAAGGAGAGAAAGAAGGGCGCGCTCTCATCTACGAGCTTGATCCTAGCTATACAACAAAGGTACTGCCAAGTAATGATTCCAGAAGTTACCGTGGCGACAGCGAGAACCTTTAAGATATAAGAAACCTTCGACGCTTTAGCTATTATCAAAGGAATAGGAAAAGGTGGTTGGAACAATGGACAATGATTGGCTGAAGGTCCTCATCAGACCAAATCTGCATGGAACTGTTGAAAGGATTAGCTTCGAGATTAACGCGGAGGTCATCTATAGCTTCTAAATTACAAGGGAAGAGCTTTGGGAAAAACGGAAAATAGTAACAGGTGGGCCACAAAATTAGCCGCATTTAGGTGAAAAAATTTTTGTTCCGCCTCGACTCTCGACAGAGAAGACGACCCTTCTTTTACTGCCTCGCGTTATGTACGAGATGCAGCAATACGCATACAGCTTAGCATACAACCTTTCAACAACAGTCAGAGCTCTCATGCTGCTCTTCAATCACAGTCAAGGAACTTAAGAATTAAAATGCATAGAGAGGAAGTAAGTTGCTTGTCATTTCTTCCATGTGCAGGAAACAGCCTTCCCCTGTGCCCGTTCAGCAATACACAACGTAAAAATGGGGAAAAACGTCTTCCCTATCAAGAAGTCAAAGTATTTAGATAGGTATGAGAATGTGAAATCAGCAAGGGTTATCGATGAAGAGCTGACAGGACTGTTGTCTCCATGTCTCGCCGGCATGCAAATCGCAGATACCTTTCTTGCCGCAAGTTAGCATTATGTAGTCACTTGCTAATTGAAACTATGTGTGGGAACCGCCTTTTCCATTTCGAACCCTCTTGCCTACTGAAGTTTGCCGATGTTCCGATCAACTGGATAGCGGCTTATTCAGAAGGAAATACTCTCAAAACATAGGCACACCAGAATGGTCTCCTGTCAACCGCTGGGATCTTCCCCTCCCTGCGTAGGCTTTACGCCGTCTGCTGTGGTCCCTTCCACCTGTGACACCAACACCTTGTTGAGATGACACGTCCGCACACAAAGGAGTGGGTGTATATTTGGGTTGTCTCATAATTCTTGTCGTCAGTTTCGACACTTTTTTTTATTCAAGTTTTATCTCTTCTAGGAAACAACTGATCAATAACATAACCACCATCATGGTCACTGATATGCGTGCATTTGCTAGTGAGCGTTTGGAAGCTTCCAGCCCAGAATGAAGGGAAGCTGGGGGTTGAAGAATTTGGAGAAGTCGTTTTTGGGGTGGTCGCAATCTTTAACTTTCTTCTCTGGCAGATGCTTATTCAGGGCGCAGGGGAGGCGATAGTCCGACAGAGCGATGCCAATGCTATATGGTGGATGAGGTATCGTGGCCCTGGCTATCTCCCCCACAACGTGGTGAGTTGGCATTGCAATGTGAGGTCTGGCGTACATTCGGAGAAAAGGAGGATCTGAGACGTTTCTGACGATTCTCCCGCGCAACCCCGAAGCCAGCCCTAGAGGGCTATTCAGCGCTGACTTTAGCAATGCTTGTCTTCATACATTGAAGTGGTTCCCAAACCAGGCCACCTAAGGAATCCAACGAAACGAGAGCGATATTTCTCAGAGAAACGGAGTTCGAGGCTTGGTTGAGCTGGTGCTTCAGCATCGGCTTGCCGCCAGGGGATCTGCGTACAGCACCGTGGTAGGGCAACGTCATGGAGACTCTTCCAATCGTCAGCCAGTGCAGGAGGCGCCTCCCATCAAAAATGACCACGAGGCCCCAGTATTGAGCGTTGAACTTTCAGAGCCTGTTTCGTTCTTTGCCGTTTGCGAATTGGACAACTCAGCTCCAAAGCTCTACTCAGCTAGAAGAGACTGGGCTTCCAACACCGCACTAGTTCTTCTCTATTGTCTCCTGGTGCTAGCAGAGGTGTCATGTTTGAGGATTGTAATTCATAATCATTCATTATAGTCACTGAACTATTTTATTCCTGGTTGGTTAACCCATTAGGGCTCGCGTTTCCGAAACTATGCTGTTAAGGCTCTTGAAGCATACTTCAAATACACACTAAATACTATTTCCGCAATGACATAGGCCTTAACCGGAGAATGATATTTGAAATTTGAATTGAATAGAAGTGACGACAAGAATATATGAGACAAGGCCCAATAGTAGAGAGGGCTATCGCCATAATCACGACATCACGGTAGAATGATATATCAATACCTAACTGCACCTTGAGTCCGCTGGTGATTAGTTTTTCGCGTCATCCTTCCCTCCTCTCTCCACTGCCCTCCACCTGGCACTTTAGCACCATGTGGAATGACCGCAAGTGGTAGGTGGTGCTCAAGAAGGTGTTCATATAGCGTAGAGGTGTCATGTCACAATTTATCCTACTACAAAACATTGATATCTCAAGTCCTGTGAGCTACCCGATTTGTTAGGGTTGTTTATTCCATGAGCTGACTTATCACTCACTTCATTTTGCGGACGGACAGACGGACATACATACTTACGTGCATACATACATACAGACACGTACATACAACCGACACACCAAGTTAGCGTTTATATAATAGAAGGTGGTGAATCAGCATTCGCCAAGCTCAGCGCCTTCGAAAATCCAGCGGCTTCTGAAAGTTGGCGTTTTCGAGCAATTCACTATTCACAAGTAAGTTCAGATTGGTAAGCGTTTTTGCTCAGGGAACGTTGTGCTCGAGTTTACGACATTTGTAGTTGATAGTTTGACATCGGATCTGAACCGCGGTAAAAAATTTACTTGAACGACCAAGAATTGACTATCAAACCAAGTTCAACCACTATCGCTCACCAGCTTACTAGGCTGCCGCTCAGGAAATTCTCTGATAATCCCTTCTGCCAGAGGAAGGTAAATTAGCATTGGTAATCGAACCCACATGGGGGCTTCTTGGGCGTGGCTGAACTCATTTCATGTTCGGTTCTGTAACCATAGCAAAGGCTAGATTGACTATGCCTGATTCACCACGTCTATGTATGTAATGCAGATTTCACAAACATGGACAATCAGCAATCAGATCTTCAAACAAGCGTTCACAAATATAAGCACTTTGAAGGCTGATCAGTTTTGAAAATTAGCTTTGTGCACTAAAGGATGGCGCACAAATAGCGTCTGCGTGCAACAGGCCTCAGCAAAGGCACAGAAAATGCCTGGAGAGACGGAAACAACGTAATTCCTGAGTCAGAATCAGCCAACGCTCGCCGCATTTGTATCGAGAATTTTTTGATGATATTCGGCCTCGATTTGGCTCCGTGGTTCGTGGAATTTACTTAACCCACGTGGCACAGCGTTATTTCACGAGTGACGGCTGAGAACCTTATGTCGCCGACGACTTTTTCTACCTGTCGAGGTATGTTAGTGAAAATTGATAGCTATTTTTAGTCACAAACTTGAACCAACGCGTAATCGCCATTGCCAGTGGATCAAAAAGCTTTCAGCAAAGCGTCCGACCTCCTTATAAGCGCTTTTTATGGATTCATCACAGGTCACGTCAAGCTTGACGATGCTCAACCGATTGTCACTGATTTCCTTCAGCTCCTAAAATAGAAAGGTTATAGAATTCCAGCGAACACGAGGGAAGATGGGAAGATACCAAAGCTGACAGAAATACGTAATCACCCCTGACCTTTTACTGTGGCAACTCCGGCGTTCTGTTTAGGGTTGAACTAATATTATTCATAAAATACAAATAGCTTGATTCGGACTCCTATTATCTAGAGCTCCACCCCGCAAAAATCGAAGAAGGTTTCAGTCGCGCAGTCAGCCGATTTTATGGAACCCGTGCAGTGGTATCACGTACGCTGTGCTGGATAGCCGTGGATAAAGATGATGAGTTACGTAATTGCCATTTACTTCAAACTCACCTTGGCGCTGTTCGGATCGCGGGCAGTCGCAATTACGTGACGAATTTCCTTGTTCTTGAGGAACTCTTTCACCAGACCAAGGCCAATGCCACGGTTGGCACCAGTCACCATTACCGAATAAGGGGAGACATATATTCCGAACTGGAAGAAATGGATAATCAGTTGTAAAGCACGTTGGAAGTTGGCTTAGTTCAGAAGTTAGTGAGCGGAACGCACTTGGACGAGACATAGAGGCGACAGAGACATAGAGAGAGCATAGAGATACAGATGTGCGATGACTCGTAAACCACTCCTTCAGACAAGTTGTGATAAGATGAGGAGTAAAATATTGTGCCTCATTGGCTGGTGAATTGATTAGCGCTCAACTCTTCTGGATTTCAAGCGAAATCTCATCCGTAATAAGCAAAGGAATCAAAAATTCACGAATTAAATAAAAAAATAGAGTCTTGCTGCACACAGCGGACTCACTCCGCTATGAGCTCCGTGTTCTGCTGATAAGAGAAGGAAGGGTTTCGGACAGATTAGGACAACAAATTCAAGATAGGAGAAATTTCAAAAAACTTTCCGGAATCAATCCACGCTTCAAAAAGCCTTGCCTACTTTGTAGAGAATTGTGTGTGTATTCGTATAACTTCGTATAATGTATGCTATATAATCCGGACCCTAATTGCGTTGTAGGCTATTCTTGCGCACTAAGCAGATCCCCAAGTATATCTCTGAGATCGCTTACTCAATAAAAGGCATAGATATATAAGGACAGCTTCGGTAATTTTTTAAGAAGAAGTTTAAACTCAAATCTCGAAGCACAATCGCCCCCGTGAAGTAAAATGAATTGCGGTTCACCATACCTTCCTGCTGGGGCGCTTTGCGAATATTTCGCGGTGTACGTTGGAGTAAGGGGAGTAAATTGGGCAAGAGGTTGTCTGATTGATGTCGCGAATATCTACATAGAAAGGACTTTCTAGTGAAGCTATTTTATGCCAACCTTGCTAAATCTCGTATTTTTACCTATTATAACAATAATATATTTATTTAATAATATTTACAAAATAACTAATTCAAATGGAATTCCAGTATCCGTTTCCACTGCTCCTATTAGTAAATAGTTTTGCGCACACTTTTCAGACAACAGCCTGTTTTTGTTCTACTTGTCCTTTTTCTTCTTTTTGAGTGCAGGTTGTGAGTTTAACCTAATAGACATCTTTTGTTCCTGCGTTGTCCTATCATATAGCACGCCTTTAAGCAGACCATGCCGAGGCGTCTACACAAACTTAGACATTCTCTCCTCCGCCTTCCACCACCTCCAATCTACTGCCATGATCATGTAGTAAAACTGGTTCAATTTGACAAGCTACGCCTACCACACCAAATTTACCAAATTACGTCGGAGAGCGGTGTTTGCATATGAACGGTGGAACAAGGCAGAGTTGGCCAAATTTCAGGGTTTATGTGAATTTCCCATAACTTTCCAAATGCTCTAAACATTTCTTCTTGTCATTAATTCCACAATAGGTCCTCATTTCATTACGTCTGATAGCGTCCCTAAATGCACTAATACGCTCCCTCCCCGCGCTCTGATTCAATCAGATCAATTGTTGTTTCTACTTTTTAGTCAATGGCAATCAAAAAATAATCATATAAAATTACGAAAATCATCGCAGGAGAAATAGCCTGGGAAAAGCAATGGGTACAAAAAACTGGACGCGGCTCATTGCATTGACTTCACACGTACAACGGCGTTTCTTCAGTCACCACGTTTATTATTTGTCATCCTTCCGCCTGTCATCATTTTCGGGCGCATGGTTGTGGTCACAGATCAATGCGACCAGAAAGAAGAGATTGGAGCTTCATGGCTATGCTTCCTTTTCATAATAGTTGCATGATATTCAGACTTGGAGCTCATCGGAGAAATGTCCCTGTTTCTCAAAAAACCCAATCCTCCTGGTTCTACCGGCAGAATGACCGTGTTCCCTTGCAGTTTTGCACATCATAACTTGAAGAAATGGCATTTACCTGGTCGGAAAGAGTAAGGATTCGAAATGAAAAGAGATAACTCTTCTGTGTGAATAACTGCTGAGATTGAAGAAAAAATGGGAGGGAAGATAAATAAAGGAGAGCCAAAAGTTCTTGGGCAATCCAAAATTTACGTAGACCAAGAGCATTCCAAAGAGCACTTGAGACAATAAATATGGAATTACAAAGCGCGGAATGATTGCGCCGTCGGTATGCAATTTCTTGTTGCTGTTGTGTAGTGTTGATCAATACATGCTCCAAGGTAACCATGCGATCGACGTAGAGTAAACCCACTCCACCATTTTAGCAAATCGTCCGCAAGTTGACGCGGGCACAACTTGTCGACGTGACTGCACGGGTATAGCAGGATTGTGCTCGGTTATGGTATGGAAGATGCATACTCTGTATAATATCTTGTTCTCAGCAACCAAATTGCGATCGCGACCCCAGTTCCATCTTCAGGAACTGTACAATATGATAGAATATTTGTTACAGCCGAATGAGGATATTTGAATCGTATTTACCTCGACGTCTCGCGGTGAGTAAACATATCAGCCAAAGATCAAATCTGCGTCACAGCATTCGCACCTCTCGCGATCAGGGAACAATTCGACCAAATTGATAATTAGTTTTCCTCTGGCCGTAAAACTTACATCGAACACCCGTTGTGGACTTTTCCCATAACTGTACGTAAAACATGATAACGAATCAGGGCGTGAGATAGACTTTATAAAGTGCTGAAGATTCTTTTTACTGCTCCACTCCCATGTGCAGGAGGAATTCGCAGCAAAACTCGACTAGATAAAAAAAGAACTCATCTTCTTGTGTTGTACAAGACGTTCTATAGCATGACGCAGTACCACCACCCACTTTTTGTGGGATAAGAGAAGTCACTCGAACATGCTCAACCTCATCACCCGGGTTACCTGCTGCGACACCTTTCTCGCTGCCAGGTTCATACTGAATGCTGAAAGCAGAGCCTTTCGTCCTTCACTTAGTTCGAATCTGCCTCGGCGGACAAGCCGAAGCATGCAATCATTGACAGATGAAACCTCGTTGGAATACGAGGTTTATTTTCACCGATCATCGCTTCCCGTTTAGTGGAACTATTTTTCGCACGCAGGAGAGTAACTCGAGCTTAGGTGTGTGCCATGCCTAGTTCGTGACATTCTCTCCATGGAAAGTTTCACCTCTTCGGTTCACTTCTACGTGGACGAGCGACAATCACGTCGATCATACTCAATTAAGAGGCAATGAACGAGGCCATGATCTTTTTGGAGCCCTCCGGAGCACCTACTAATCGTCAGTAGCCATAAGATAATCAATCCGAACATCCTTTACCATTCAGGGATTCCATGACTCCTATAGCTGTGAAACAACTGCACAGAAATATGATAGGTATATCATAAGTACCGTTTATGGCTGGCAGTGAGTGTTCGCCGCTTAGGTTGCCATACTATGTATGTAGGCTTAGAGGGTTGAAATAGACTGATTACTCATGGTTTTGTGGCTTCGTACAAAAATTGCTTCAAGTCTTTAATTGGATATCCAACAATCACATGCTTCAGTACGGGATCGGTTCAAGAGTCCTTCTGAAATAGCCGCCATGGTGCTCCTTGTTCAGTTTAGCAAACGAAGAAACCAGCGCCTCCACAGATTCGTCAACCTGTAAACAGTAAATGTGCTCTCAAACAACCTTAAAACGGCTCGCTTACAAATCCACAAGAGAATACTTACCGTAATAGTCGCATTCGGTCCCTCCCATATCCGTCTTGACCCATCCCGGACAGAAACTGACAATGAGAATGTGTTCAGACTCGAGATCAATAGACATTGTTTTCATGAGAGCATTCAATGCAGACTGCAAAAAGGTCGAAATCTTCGTTACAGTATTGATCCTTGACCATCACTAGCTGGAAAAAAGTAGTCACCTTGCTCATTCGGTAGGCCAGCGATCCAAACTTTCCCGATCCTGACGTATTCGTGCTGATAGATGCAACACCTGACGAGATGTTGAGAATCGCTGCACGGTCAGGGGAGAACTCCTCAGATTCTACTTGCGAAGCAGCCTTTCGCAAGAGCGGCAGGAATGTCTGCAAACGATGGGGCTCGAAAATATCCAAAATTGGGGAAAATAGCCATTAAATAACTCAGCCAACCTGGGTGAGAACGGCTACGCTGGCCGCGTTCACGTCGAAATTCCGGATAATATCAGCCCGATTTGGCTCCTGATTGCTGAAATATGGCACAAAAATGCCTGCGTTGTTCAGCAGAACGGTGAGTCCTCTGTCGCCAACTATCTTCTCAACCTGTAGCTACGGGAAGTATCAGTGCAAGATCGCCTGTAATAATTTCAAGCACCTAATACCTCCGTGTAAGCTGTTCCTGATGGAGTCGTCGCAAGTCACGTTCAACTTCACGATGCTCAGCCGAGGATCGCTTATCTCCCTCAATAGCTAAAAAGTAGGAACAGATAATTCAGAATCCTTCTTTACTAGTTAGCAACGTCGTAAATTATGACGTAGAACTTCCAAATACTTTTTGCCTCACTCAACCAGTGGATCGTCAACAGCCCCCCACTCTATGCACGAAAAATCGGAGAAATTTGGAACAATACTTTCTTGGTTTTGTAAGTGGGATTGAAACGCATTATTTACTGATGAAGCTTCTTCATATGAGCCCAGCCCGTGTGAGTCATCGTCTTATTATCTGCAGTTTCCAAACGTGCAAAACCTGCTGCATATTGGAGATTGACTTCGCTTCGAAACTGTTCAAAATTCCAGAGATATTTCTTTCAAAAAAGATTTTACATATTTTGAAAGTACATTAGTTACTAGTATACTGGTGAATCCCTCTAACCAACGGCTTTCGCAAATAGAATTGAATTGTAAATGAAAAAGTGAATGAAACTGAACTAAAAACTAGGAGGGATCTTTTTTTGGATGTAAGTGAACTAGCCCTGAAGTAAATTTAGAGCTTAAACTTTGAGCTTCTTTTCTAGGCTTTCTATGACGCGAATCTCGAGCTTTGTGAGTGGAATATGGTCATCGTCAGTGCCCAGTGCATGCATTTTAAGTGTTGGAAAATATTTTCGTAGTGGCATCTGTAGGACAGTCTTCACAATGGAAGTATAATATTTGCAATATTATATCTTCTCGCCGTATTGAATGACACAAAAAAATGTGTGATTCCAATGCCAATCAGAAGAGACTCACATTGGCGCTGTCCGGATCACGAGCAGTTGCAATTACATGGGAGATTTCTTTGTTTTTCAGAAACTCCTTCACAAGGCCGAGACCAATGCCTCGATTGGCCCCTGTGACCATTATCGAATAAGGAGCCATTCCTGAAACATTAAAGAGTTCTGAGGCATCGTCAATATTGCCAACATCCACCTCCAATATCAGTAATGACGATATTGAGACGACAAATTACAATTTTCTATGTATGTCATATTCCGCATAGCCAACGAAATAGAGGAAGAGCTCTATACCATGGACCGGAAAGTTTCCAAGAGAGCTCAAATGGGCAACTTCGAGCAATAATCGAGGATTTTGGATGGAGGATTACTTGTGGTGGGTGAAATAGAGCTCTCCACGAAGGTAGCAAATTTAGCGTTTTTCCTGTTTCGGAGTGCGCAACAACGGCTCTAGAGAACAACGGCGCTAGCTTGCAAAGACCGATTCAATCTCTCGTTCACAGTACATATACTGGTATCTGACGCTCTCCAGCCTCTTGTACTCCCTCAGATACGCTCTCTTCTTCCTGCTCACTCTCTCATTGCGTAGCAGAAAAAATGGAAGCATTGGTTTTAGGCAATCTCTACGAAAAATTCTTTTCTGTCTACATTACCAATACATACGCAGCTATATTTTCGTTGAGTACAGAAACCATATAAGCTTGATCTTGACGCGGAAATTTAGCACACTGACAACCGCGCTTCATTAATTTTTTTGGCCCATGGACAGCGGTGCGATTTTGCGAACGCGGCCGTCTCACCTCGCATATATGTACGGATTCTATATATTAGGTTGGCAAGATTGAAATGTCGCTTCCGTTTGTGCCTTTGTTTCTCAGCTTGAAACACAATCTCTTAGGATGGGAGACCATTCATTCGAGAGAGCGATTCAGCACGCATATTGCGAAATCTTAGGCGCCACTGAGCGGATGTTCTTCGAGCCAAAACTTTTGCTCGAAGATGACTGATCAGAAATCATCGTCTGAGCGTATATATTCAAGCAAGGAAAAACGGCCAACGAATCCACTCATTGTGTGCAAAACATTGAGCAGTAACACTTAGTCTCTGATGCACTTTCAGCTATGGTTTCAGCTCTTCCAAGACTGAGGTAAAGGACTTGAGGAGATCGTGGATTTTGACCTCTAGCTCTAGATGACGGAGAAATAAAGAAAGCCAACGAATTGAGTCCTCGACAAACCGCACAAAACTTGCATGGAGATTCAGTTGTGTCAACAGAAAAATTTGAAAGTTCCTACGTGCGACTGTTAAGGTCTTCACTATGGAGAGCTGATTGTGGGTCAGACAGTTACAGCTGAAGCCTGCGCACAACAGCCCGCCCGCGTGGACCGAGCTCTGCGTCGTCAAGGGGTGAATTCGGCCAATGTAAAACTATTGCACCATAACGGAAGACCACATGTCGTGAAAATCACGCAACAAGAAATCGGGGCTGGGACGTTCTACCTCCAGCGCCATATAGCCCAGGTCTGGCGCCGTCCGACTATCACTGACCCAGGTCAGCGCAACACTCCTTAGCAGCAAACCAATTCGATAACCGCGACGACGTCAAAATTTGAGTGCCCAACTTCTTCGAGTCGAACCAGAAAGAGTTCTACGCGGTAGGCATCCATGCTTTGCGTAACGAAAGGTGATGAGCCTGTGACACAGGTGAAGGAGATGGTTCAGGTTGATGTGCTTCATTATTGTTTTTATAATGAAAATAATTGATGATCAACGACATTTCAATCTGGCCAACCTAATAGATAATGAAGACACAAAATATGGATGGCACAAGTTATTTCAGCAAGTTTCAGTGCATAACAATCATCAAAGGCATACTAGACGAAATTCAACTAAAGAACGTTCAACGGCAAGAAAAAAGAGCAAAATTTATTAGTTCTCGCTGCAGTGATCATCAAGAGCAGTTTTGAATTGATTGTTCCAATCACAACATATATCTTGTCATTCAATGTGCTGTATTTACTTTTACCTTTATCGAAGCTATTATTTATTTACTTAGTTATTATATACTCATGGGCGTGCCACTGTTAGCGAACATCAGACCAAAGGCAGAACCATGGGAAGTTGTATGAAGAGTAAAAGTATGTAGAGGTAAAAGGCCAATTATGAAAACAAGAAAACGAAAAGTGAAAGTGAAGCAAACTGAAATTGTTGTAAGGGTTGGATAACTGTTTAGCAAGGTGAAAAGTCAAATGTAAAGTAAAAGAGACTGATGAAATGTGGCCGGAAGCTATAAAAAGCTGAGCAAATTGGGCCCAAGATAAGAGCGAAATTCGAAGGAGAGACTCACCTGTGTAGTGAAGAGAGGTGTACCCAGGGTCAACCCTGCGTTGCGCAAAGAACAACGAGGGGGTCGTATTCAGCCGACCGAAAAGGGAGGGGGTCGTATCCACAGACGGGCTGCAAGACGGCTTGAAAAGTGCAGTGTCCGGGAGTGCACTTTCAGCCTCTAATGTTCTCCAGGAGCTCTGCACGCTGTCGGAGAGTCACACAGACATGAGCTCCATGGGAGCATTAAAGCATGCAGAGCACTATAAGTCTCACCATCAGCTTATTATCCTTAAGCGACGCTATCCGGACGGCGCTTTTGCTCCGCGGCATAGATCAAGAGTACAATAGACAATAGCCAAAAACTTTGTTACAGTGTAGTGCAAAAACATGGTCTGTCTTCGATGATGAAACATTCCTGAAATCCCGAGGAGAACAAAGTGTAGAGCAGTTCATGGGAAAGTGAAACAAGAGTGCCATATAACAGCACAATACAACTCAATCAGGATACTAACACCTTCTTCAGGAAAACAGAAGACTTCAAAATGCGAGTGCGAACTCTGCCCACAGATAGGGTGCACGGCGTTTTTATGGGAAAACGCCTCCTCTGTCAGCGGCCGTAAGCAGACAAACTTTCTGAAGAGAGTTTCGATGCTTTCAAATAAAATCTAAGCGAAACAAAGTGTAGCGAATTTGCTGAATTGAGTTCTAGAGACGCCGTAGGAAAATTGAGGCAGAAGAAAGGAATTTCAGGAAAATTTCACAGTTGTTATGAAGTACTCTTCGAGTGGATTCCAACAATCTTTACCGCTTCTCATCACATTAATTTCAAAGGAAGTTATGGGCCTTTGAAGACTGCATAGTCGCGGTCCAGGAAAATGGCTTGAAAAAAATCAAGGTGGAAAAAACGGAACAACGGGACTATTTTTTGAGCGAGTGATTATTTCAAGAAGTTTTAGCACTTATTCGAAAGCTCTAATCTTCTAGTTTCTAATTAGCCTTAGACATCTGCAAAATGTTGAGTATGAAGAAAGTTATTAACGTTTGAATGTCGAAAACTCGCGCCTTCTCAAAAATCGGACCCCAAACCACCCAAGAACGGAACAACGGGACTATTTTTTGAAAAAATGATCGCTGGAAAATTTTCAGGTGCTTGTTCGAAAGCTCTAATCTTCTAGTTTCTAATTAGCCTTAGACATTTGCAAAAAGTTGATTATGAAGAAAGTTATGAATGTTTGAATGTCAAAAACTCGCGTGTGCACAGAAAACGGAACAACGGGACGATTTTTTGAAATATTGAACATCCACAACATTTCAAATACTCCTCAGGAAGAAAACTATTTATATTTTCAAAATTTTGGTGTCCGATTTCATGAAACAGCTTCTGAAAGAAAATATAACCTTCTGAATGGAGGGGTTTGGATTGCAATGTAATTTGCAAGAAAAGTCCTGCGACACTTTTTCAATTTTTTGATTTCAATTCTATTGATTTCAATTCTATCTTTTTTGTTTACAACTCCTGACCGGTCATATTCTATCATGAGTGTCCACCACTTGTCTTCAACGCTCAGAAAATTTCCTGATGCGCCTTTTCCAAAACCCAGCGGAGTGCGGGTCAAGAAAGGAGGCGACCTCACTTCCGAGTTGGAGTTGATCGTCTAATTATTTCGTTATCAAGATGATGATTAAAGGTCCAGGATAGGTAGCATTTACAGCTCGACAGGGGATTACGCTAAGAGAGGTAAGAAATCTTGCCGCAACTCCAGAATTTCTTACCGGGCTCATTTCGGATCATGGTGATTCGCAATGTCATGAAAGAAATGAATATTGTCGCGGTACGAGGGCTCTTGACGAGCTGCCTCGGCCAGCTTCTGGTATTCCACAGCCTAGGCCTCTACCTACACAATGGTGCCCATAACGAAGAATATGTAGTGGAGCTTCTGTAAGAGCCCTACCTGTAATGGAGTGTGAGGGACGCTGCTGGCTTCTTATAAAAATATCAAAAGATCGGAAGCGCTGGTAAAGGTGAAACACGCTGTAGCGGTGAACGACATGCCTATTGAAGCTATTGCAGATAGTGTTGGTCTTTGACACGAATCCATAGTTTGTAGACATTTGTACTAGACAGTGACTCGGAGTGTGGATTTACTAGTGGTCGAGATTTTTTGAATTTTCTTGGATACCTACTGCACTGCAGAACTTATATCCACCTCGTGGATTGAAGCCTCGAGAATGCTCTACCATTTGTTAGTCATAAATGTTACCTATGGATTGTTCAGAAAAAAAGAAAATTTTGGAAAGAGTGTCGCAGGACTTTCTTGCCAACCTAATAATTGCTACAAGGTTTAGTTTTTCAGATTATAAGGTAAGGAAAGTTGAGAGATCGAAAAAATCCTGGTGGGTTTCTGAAAGTAGAAATCTTTACGATTAAAATGATGTATTGGTTTACGCAAAAATTTGGAAATTCCTTCTATTTAATGAATAAAACTTCATTTGCCTCGATTCCCTCCTCTGAGCGAGACAGAGCGCGCGGATTGACCACGGTCCACCACTTCTCCATGTTGGTGACTGCCATCATTGATGAGCATTGATGAGCATTAAATTATGTGAAAGACATGATAGTTAATATGGGGGGGTCGTACCGATACCCCCGAAAAGGAAGGGGGTCGTAAAAATTTGGGAATTTGCGCAACGCAGGGTTGACCCTGCGTGTAAAACTCCTCAAGGCGCTGGGGACTGACACGTCAACTCGCGTGCACAGCATATGCCCGTGCGATCTAGTTCTGTACGCGCCATGGCGTG